CTCATGGTCTAAGGAAAAGATACTTGACATTGGCAAAGCTCTAGCAAACGAACTACACGATCTTTGTGCTATGCTTAGGATTTGGGTCTTGTCCATCACATCATTGTCCTAATGATGTGATCCCGTTATCAACGACATCCAATGTCCATAGTCAGGAAACCATGACTATCTGTTGATCACAACGAGCTAGTCAACTAGAGGCTCACTAGGGACATATTGTGGTCTATGTATTCACACGTGTATTACGATTTCCGGATAATACATTTATAGCATGAATAAAAGACAATTATCATGAACAAGGAAATATAATAATACTTTTATTATTGCCTCTAGGGCATGTTTCCAACAGAATCGACCATGGAGGGCCTCTACATCATCTTCAAGGCCTCTCCGATGAGTTGTGAGTAGTTTACCACAGACCTTCGGGTCCATAGTTAGTAGCTAGATGACTTCTTCTCTCTCTTTGAATGTCAATACCAAGTTCTCCTCGATCTTCTTGGAGATCTATTCAATGTAACTCTTTTTTGCGGTGTTTTTGTCGAAATCCGATGAATTGTGGGTTTATGATCAAGTTTATCTATGAGAAATAATTGAATCTTCTCTGAATTTTTTTTATGTGTGATTGGTTATCTTTGCAAGTCTCTTCGAATTATCAGTTTGGTTTGGCCTACTAGATATATCTTTCTTGCAATGGGAGAAGTGCTTAGCTTTGGGTTCAATCTTGTGGTGTCCTTTCCCAGTGACAGCAGGGGTAGCAAGGCACGTATTGTATTGTTGCCATCGAGGATAAAAAGATGGGGTTTATATCATATTGCTTGAGTTTATTCCTCTACATCATGTCATCTTTCTTAGTGTGTTACTCTGTTCTTATGAACTTAATACTATAGATGCAGGTAGGAGTCGGTCGATGTGTGGAGTAATAGTAGTAGATGCAAAATCGTTTCGATCTACTTGTTGCGGACGTGATGCCTATATACATGATCATGCCTAGATAATCTCATAACTATGCACTTTTCTATCAATTGCTCGACAGTAATTTGTTCACCCACCGTAATATTTATGCTATCTTGAGTGAAGCCACTAGTGAAACCTATGGCCCCCGGGTCTATCTTTTATCACATAAGTTTTCCATCTATCTTTTATTTGCATCTTTTACTTTCCAATCTATATCATAAAATACCAAAAATATTTATCTTATCTTATTATCTCTATCATATCTCACTTTATCAAGTTTCTGTGAAGGGATTGACAACCCCTTTATCGCGTTGGTTGCGTGGTTCTTGTTTGTTTGTGTAGGTACGAGGGACTTTTGAGGAGCCTCCTACTGGATTGATACCTTGGTTCTCAACAACTGAGGGAAATACTTACGCTACTTTGCTGCATCACCCTTTCCTCTTCAAGGGAAAACCAACGCAGTGCTCAAGAGGTAGCAAGAAGGATTTCTGGCGCCGTTGTCGGGGAGGTCTTCGCTCAAGTCAAGATATACCAAGTACCCATCACAAACTTATCTCCCTCGCATTACATTATTTTCCATTTGCCTCTCGTTTTCCTCTCCCCCACTTCACCCTTGCCGTTTTATTCACCCTGCTTCTGTTCGTCTTTTCGTTTGCTTTGATGTCTTACTTGGCTCGTTTGCTCATTTGGTTCGAATAATTGTTCATTTATTGCTAACAGAGAACCTAAAATCTATGGATCCTCATCCGCTTGACAATCTTTTTAAGAGATCCAATTATGATGAACCAAATCCTAGTGATTTGAGTGCACTAGATTATCTTTATGAGGTTTTGCTTGAAATTCGTGAATCTGAAAATTTTGATGAAAAATTTTATGAAGAGATTCACGATAGCTCCTTGAATAAAAAGCATGATTGCAATGATGTTATTATAAAATCTATTGATGTCAATTGTGCTAATAATATGCAAAACCCGAAGCTTGGGGATGCTAGTTTTGCTATGTCTACTACTTGTTACAATGATCATGATTGGGGTGATTCTTCTTATGATCTTGAAAATTTATTTAAGCCCCATGATGAATATGAGATTGATAATAGTGTTTGCAATAATATTGAAAGTGGGTTTGGAAGAGTGTCAACTTTAGACCCCACATATTTGGAGAATGTTCAATCTTATGGCATTTTGATAAAAATGGGTTTGGAGAGGTCATGACTTTAGTTAATGATAATCCCACTATTTTGGAAGAGTGTCAACTTCACATGCATGTGGACCGTGTTGAGAATATGTTATGTGATAGCTATTTTGTTGAATTTGCCTATGATCCTACATGTAATTATTATGAGAGAGGAAAATACGGTCTTAGAAATTTTTATCTTACTAAATTACCTCTCATCATGTTGAGATTGCTATTGTCTCTTTCTTCTTCCTTGCATATGCTAGTTTTTGCTTGCCTTGCAAATTTTTTTGCTTATAGTATGCCTATGCATAGGAAGTATGTTGGACTTAGATGTGTTTGTTACATGTTTCATGATGCTCTCTTTACCCTTCAATTCTTGTCTTTCATGTGAGCATCATTAAAATTATCAATGCCTAGCTAAAAAGGCTTTAAAGAAAAGTGCTTGTTAGAAGACAACCCAATATTTTTCCTTGCTGTTATTAAATAAATAATTCATCTAGCCTCTGTTTCGTCCAATTTTTCTGAAATTTTCGAAAAAAATGGATTTCGCCCATTTCGCCTTTGACCGGTAAAAATCATATAACGAAATCCAAAATCTTGTTGAAGAGTCGCCGCGAGAGAGAAATAAATTTCGATCGATCATGCTAAGGGAGTCGCCCACGGAGCTTGCTATTAGCCACTTCGCCGAATTGAACTACATGCAGCTCCGCTCCACTCTTTCTACTCCGACGAGCGGTAGCTTTCAGCGCCACGCCGCCCGCTCCGGGCGCGGAGCTGCGGAGCGGAGTGCATCCGAACATGTCCTTCTTCTTACAAAATTTGCATGCACTTTCATGTTTGTTGTCAAAATTTCACATGAGCATGATAAGTGGTATTTTCTCGTTCCTTTGGTCAAAAGTAATGTTTTTTTAGAAACAAAAGTCATGTTTATTTTTTTGAAACAAAAGTCATGCCTTCATGTGGGGGTTGGGCGGGGTTGGGTTGCGGCCTGTCAGCTGGCTCGACCCGCCCGCACCAGCTTCGTGGACCGTGGGCCCACATCGTCAGTCGACTGAGTATATATTAAATAAAAGAAGAAGAAGAAAAACCTCTCTGCCTCTGGCTTGGACCGCTCTCCTTCCTCCTCCTTCCTCCGCCGCCGCCGCCGCCGCAGCGCCGCCCGCACGCCGTTGCTACCGGACTCGAGCGGAGATCTTCTTCCTCTCCTCTCGGTAAGCTCTAATCCGCTTCCTCCCCCTTCCATCTTCTTCATCTGCGACGTGAAATTTTGAATCCTCAACCTTCCCCAGGCTGAGAAACCCCTCGCCAAAACCCTACCCGCCTGACCTAGCTCCTCCGAGTCCGACGACCTAGTTCTTGAGAGCCCTGCTGCTCTTGTCTAGTGTAGGCTACCGAGATGCATCCGCCCCTCCCCTGCTCTAGTGTTTGCTGCGACGGCTCGACCCCCACCCCTGCCCGTGTTTCCTCAAAAACAGCCTTGTTGCTTTGGTTGCGGTGCCCTGTGTTCCTGGTAATAATTAATCGTCTTCTGGTACTATTGTGGTTGCTGCACTACTGTATGATCGATGATGTGTGGCGATCTTTTCATGATTTCCCCCCATCCAATCGTCGTCTGCCGCCGCTCAATTGTTCGCATATATGGATTGGGTGCGAATTCTAGTTTTATTTTCTTTGTTTGCACACAAGGTCCAGTAGACTGTACTTACTGTATAACAAATGTAACTGTTTTCCCCCAATCGGATCTACCGCCGTGTGATTGTTCGCATATGGATTGGGTGACTTCTTGCCCTCTCTAAGCCTTCTGTCAGTGTCAGGTAGGATCCTCATGGAATTTGTTGCTAACCTCATCATCTTATATGTTGCTCCCTCCGATTGGAAATAAGTGTCGTGGTTTTAGTACAAATTTGAAATAAAACGATGACACTTATTTCCGATCAGAGGGAGTAGATCTTAGGATTACTGTTCATCAGTTCTTCTCGTGGAAGAAACTCTTCATCTACAGATCAGTGACACATACAGTTCTTGTTGTATGTATCTCCTCACACCACATAATCTAGTAAGTTAGACACTTCATATTTCTGAAATTTTGTTTTGTTTATATGCACAGGATAAACAGCAAAGATTGTCGATCTTAGCAAAGATTGTCATATGTATTCGTCAGCCTTTGTTACTTGATATTTCTGTCGTTGCTTGTAGGGCAACATGCAAGTATTGACGTTTTTTATGTAAATATAAAAGCTGGACGGAAGCATATGCATGCTATTAACTTTAGTTACTAAGCCTGAATATTTCTGTTTTCCGATTAAGATCGATGCATTGTAGTGTGGCAACTCTGAACGGTACTCTTGCTAGCTTCTGTAACGCTGTGTCTTGTTGGCTGACTTGGCATTTGGCTGCTAGCTGTTGGTTCTATTGTAGAAAGTGTTAGTAAGTGAATTGAGAACTTTATGCTTACCTTTTTGTGGTGAATTTATGCGATTTCTCTTTCCAATTGTACCCCACCCCCACTCCAACTTGCTGCACCTGCATCACGCTTTGACTAACATGAAAATCAAATCTTCCATTAGCAATTAATTGACATATCAATTACTGACTGTCACAGAGATGCCTGCATAGAGTCCTTTACTAACATGAAATTCAATTCCTTGACAGACAGCCTACCAGAATGCCCCCGAAGAAGCGCCTGCACCAGTTGCCCGCTGCTCCCAAGCTGGAAGACCATGTCGAGGAAGCTGCTCCTGCTGTCTCTACCTCTGGCACGGAAGGTAGCATGCATGTTGAGATTTAGCGACTCCTGCTCGCAATGTGCATGATGAGTAGGCATCACATTCTTTGTTCTGTGCGGGGTTGTTGAGTGGCTTGCATGTTTGATGGGATTGGCAGATTCGGAGGAGGAAGAGGAGGAACTTTTCGGCAGCGGCAGCGGCGGCGGGGACAACGAAGACGACAGTGGCAGCCATTCGTCGCAGATTGACGGTGCCGACATGGATGAGTAAGTGATCGGAGTTCTTTTTCCTTTTTAGACAGTTTTTCTATTTTGTATGTGTATCTCCTGCAGTTAATGCTAGCTGCTCGGTGCAAATCAACCCCTCGGTTGCTGTTAGGATCAGTGAAGTATCCTGTTAGGAAAGCATTTTGTTCATTGGATAAACTCTATTATCAGATACTGGAACACATATTTTGTCATCTTAGATCCTTCAGCTGGCTAATCGAATTAAATCAACTCTTCTTCGGCCTTTCAAATATGAGTTTCCAGTGTTCAAGTACTCCTTAGGTGCTAATAGTCCCATTATGAACACCGGAACGTTATATTTTAGCTACATATTCCTTTGAAAAAGGAAGTAAAATATCACAGAACACTTGTAACTGTTGTATAAAGTTCTAATCAGTAATTGATATGCCAATCGGTAATGGAAGATTTGTTTTCCATGTTAGTCAGTGCTTATAAATTGTTTATTAATCTTGAACATTGCAATCAGTGCAAGTTGTAATCAAACCTTTTAATCATGTATTGTGATTGCTTGTTATATCCACGCGAACAAGCTTATGTCTATTAGTTGGTAATCTTTTTGGCCAGAAGATTACTTCGTTAATACTGAACTGTAGTTTCATCGTTTCTGTTCACAATGAAAAACATTTCTCAGAGCAACAAGTAATAGTTGGTCGACTGGATTAAAACCAGAGATGGTTTCTACATCGTGCTTTCTGCTTCTCATCCTGTTTTTATTAACGTGTTAATAATGAAAAGCTTCCAAATCTGCATACAGAGTTAGCCGTGTCTTCGCCATGAATGTTCTTCTCCAGCTATATTGGCCATGCATATTCTTTAAAGTGTGGGATTAGTGGAGTTTTCTTTGTTTGTAGCTGTACCTTTTGTTTTTGTATATGCAGGATAATCAACAAAATATCTTTTCTCCTTTGATTTGGTTAGTCGTGTGTAAATTCGCCTCATGTACATCTCACGATATGCATCATCATATTTGAATATAATTGTGACGAGAGGGAATAGAGGTGTGCGATGATTGACAAGGAGGAAAATGGGAGAATCTTGATGTATGTCCCGACACGTTAGGTAGCAAAGCTTGCTGGGTGAGGCACCATACTTGGAGAAGAATTTTGTTTGCCACTGCCGCAAGAATCGAATGGTGCACCTTCGTTACCACACAGGACATGTATTGAAGTTGCCGCATGTCCTATATGATTGTCCATTCTAATATGCCACTATCCTTCACTGCTGGTGGTTGAGAATATGGTAGAGATCTGCTGGGCACGCACATGACATCAGAGTGGGACGAAATGGTGGAGGAGCGGACCATTAGCATAACAGAACCGCGGGACTGATGGGGGGCCGGAGGGTGATGATGCAGCTGTAGTGAAGTAAGTTTTGGGCAGAGAGAGGCGAGGAGAAAGACTGTGTTCCCCCTTAAGGAGGGTGAAGATGGAGATGCAAGACAATACCGTAGTGGCTGTATAGGGGGAGCGTAGAGAAAGATGCCGACGTTTGTTGCTACTCCCTCCGTTCCAAATTACTCATCGTGGTTTTAGTTCAAATTTGAACTAAAACCACGATGAGTAATTTGGAACGGAGGGAGTACATTGTTAAGAACATCTGAACACGTGTCTCACTTGACAAGTATGTTAACCGAATAGAAGTATCACTTATAACTAGTCTCTTCAATATATAGAACTGAGTGATACCATGTATATTTTTATGGTTGCTCATGTCTTAACTTTGCATGCTAGGCTTAGTGCGATACCATGTTTTGTATAAACAAGGTATTTACAGAGTAGATTTCTCTTCTAGCTTGTATTTTTTTTATTTAGATCCTTACTTGTACTACCTGCTGGAATTTTTTATGTTTTTGTGTATCGTTCTACAGCCTAAATATTGTCTAACAATTGGTGATTTTTGGTTTGCTAGCCCATCCAAAGTGCACATCTTTGTCAAGAATCCTGCCGGCAGGAAAATCTGTCTCAGGGGGGTACACTTGTCGGACACCCTTTACACCATCAAGGCAAAGATCCAGGAGCAGTACAGCCTCGTCTTCGACAGGGTGCAGCTGGAAGACAGCCGTACATTGGCGGATTACGGCATCAAGCATGATTTCACGCTTGACCTCCAAGAAAAGATGCAAATCTTCGTGACGGAGACGCTAGGAGGTAGGACCATCACTCTCGAGGTCGACAGCCTAGACACCATTGACAAGGTGAAGGCCAAGATCGAAGACATTGAGGGCTTTCCAAAGCTCCAGCAGTGCCTCATCTTTGACAACAAGCAGCTGGAGGACGGCACACGCACCTTGGCTGAACACAACATTGGTAAAGGGTCCACTCTTCTCCTCATCCTCCTCCCGTGTAGTCCAACTTCTGTGATGCAAGTATTCGTGAAGACGCCGCCGGAAGGCAAGGTCCTCACCCTTAAGGTCGGGCAATCGGACACCATCAACAGTGTCAAGGTGAAGATCTATGAGAAGAACGGCGCCCCCCCTAGACAGCAGCGCATCATCTTTGCTGGCAATCAGCTGGAGGACCACCGCACCCTGGCGGACTACAAGATTTACAGCGAATGTACCCTTCATTTGGCGTTCCGCCTTTGTGGTTGCTGAACTGCATGGCCTGGCCTGGCCTGGCATTCAGTAACCAGTCTTATTTTTCCTTCCAGTAGTGGTGCGTTATCAGTACTATCATTCTAGTACTGAACGTTAGTATATATATGGTCCAGTATTGTTCCTTCACAGTAGAAGTGTGGTGTGTTGTTAGTGAAACTACGAACTATATCATTTAGTATGTTGATGATGTGTTGAGTAGTTCTTTTAATCCATCTGTGAAGAGAACTACTATTAAGAGTCCCTGGGTCTGTATCGACGCCAGTTGATTGAGAATACAGTCTGTTTTGACTGACAATAGCATCCTTTCTTTTCTCATTTCTTTCACTTCTTCATGCCCAGTGCGGTTAATTTCTATATCCATGTTTTCTTATATGCCGAAAGTTGAAGTGATGAGGGTCATAACACTGTGGTTGCATGTTTCTAAAAACATTTATTATCGCACTGTGAACCACACATGAATGTCACATCGAGTTGGAATCGAGACTGCAGATAAAAGTTCGACATCAAGTCGTCCTCACCGTTGGAGGAGGACAAGGAGGCATTGGCCGAATCGACCCCCCTTAGCCCCCATGTGCAAACTAAATTACATTTTTTATGTATTAATCATCTTGATACTACCTATTTAATTTCGCTTCACCAATTTTAATTTATAAAGTCTTTATTTTCATGCAGCTCATTGCTTACTATACTATTCAAACATTGGGTGCAACTGAAAGGGCATTTTCTGTCTCAAGTGTTTTGGTGTTGATGACAATCAAATTTACGGACTAATCTTGTGCGAAAGCTACTTAGGTATACTAAATATGACACAAGACGGTTGGGCACCCCTCCGGATGGAAAAGATTGCAGAAAATCCGCACTATTAAGAAGGGTCCGCATTGAAAGGTACGGATGAATCAAACACGTACACATCTACATATTGCACCCCACATATTGCCTACCATTTTAAGGAGAGCCACTTACTCAACATGTGCAGAAAAACCTTCCCAAAGCGGCTGTACTGCTTCCTATGTGGAGTGGTCACGGTGGCTACTGCCCTGGCCGTTGTACCGGGCGCAAGTGAGCTTGCTTGCACCGGCCTTTCTGCAGGCGGTTCAACTGGGTCTTGCACCGGTCCAACCACCGCTCGAAGGGTGATTCCTTCGGGTGGGCATGTAGTACCCTGGCGGTGGTTGTCTAGTTGGTCCTGGTATAGTTGTTTAATTATCGGGGTCCCAGGCTGTTGTACCGCTAGGGACTTAGCCATTCCCGGACAGCATTTCGGGTGTCTGTACCGGGCCAAGTACCTCTCAAACCACCGCAAAAAGGGTGATTCCTTGGGTTTTGAGCGGTACGAGAACGGTGGTCCTGCAGTTGTTCTGGTTTTTTGGGTTCAAAAGTGTAATGGGCTTTTTTTTTGCGAGAACAAAAGTGTAATGGGCTGCTATAGTATATTACTTTCTGGCCCATTTAGTGTTGCAGTTTACGTGATTAGCCTGACTGCTTATCCAACGTTGTTTCTTTATCTTTTTCTAATTGTTTTTTGCTCATTATGATATATATCATGTATTTACATGTGGAAAAGTGATGTGTTATATGAAAAGTTCGCGTCAACTTTGGTTAATTTGGTTATATGAAAAAGGGTTCCCCACTTTATATATTATAGAGCAACAACCCCAAGCATCCAACAACAAGTCGTGGTCGGTCCAAGTACAAGTAGTTCACAAATAAATGCTGGGGGCACAGCAGAACAAGCTCCAAACAAAGAAAAAGGGAACTAATCCGGCTCGGGAGGGGGTGGCGGTGGTGGTGGAGCTAACGCTGAGGCCGAAGAGCGGAGACCTGAAATGATGTTGTCGATGACGTCCCGATCGCGCCGCTTGCTAAGAGGTCTCCATAGTTGCAAGAAGCCGCACAGTTTGTAGATTGCATCAGTCACACAGCAAGGAATCACGTGTTCAATGACTAATTTGTTGCGGATGCACCAAATGGTCCATGCAAGGGAGCCCATAGCCACCCAGATGGAGGCACGCCTAGAGGAGGGGAGCAACAGGATTTCCCCAAACAAGTCCGGAAGGTTGTCATGGCACCATACACCACCGACAACCTCCCAGAAGCAGCTCCAAAGGAACCGCGCCGCCGGGCACCGGAAGAAGATGTGGTTGGAATCCTCCGGGACAATGCAAATGGGACAAAGGCCGTCTCCGGGGCCATTTCGCTAACACACCTCCATGCCCGAGGGAAGACGTCCTCGCACCCATTGCCATAGGAATATGCGGATTTTCAGGGGGAGCTTGATTTCCGAAATAACCGAAAGCTTGACGGGCCCCGGCGTGGGCACAATTGCCTGGTAGAGGGACCTGGTAGAGAACCTGCCACTGGGTTCAAGGCACCAGTGCAGGGAGTCGGGCTCTAGGGAAGGAGGGTGCAATGCAATGCACTCGAGCAACTCCTCCCATTGAGCATGTTCCGCCGCCTCAAAGGTATGGCGGAAGGCAATGGCGCTAATGTCACCGTAAGTTGTGGGCGGGCACATATTGAAAAGGTAAACGTTTTGAGCCGGGGCACCGGCTGAACCGTTCGGCCGGCGCGTGACACGCTGGCTTCACACGTCCACACAAAAACGACCCCGCACGAGACGCATGTTATTGTGGGCCCGCATGAACCGCTTTTCCCCTGAACCTTATCTCTTCTTTTCCCCTCGTTCCTTTGGCCACACATCACCATAGCACTTTTTCTTCCACCTCCAGCCTAGCACTTGTTCTTCTCTGTGAAAGACGGCGGAGGCGACGAGCGACTGGTGTGGCTGATGCTGCAAGCGAGGCAGCCGTCGGTGGATTTAGGCGCGAAGGTGCTGCAACCGTTGGGGCGTCAGAGCTGCAGCCACCTCGCCGGAGATGCTACCACCAGTCGCTGGTGGTGCCACGACCACCTGTCGGTGGAGCTGCATCCATTGGCGTCTGACGACGGCGAGCTGCAACCGTGCAATCTGTGCGGCGTGGCAGTGGCCGCCACATGTCTCTGACCATGGGAGCGCCGCAGGTCTCCGACCATGGCACAACTCGGGTTCTTTTTGCTGGAACCATGCTTTTTTATGCTGGAACCTGCTCTAAATTTTGCTACTAGTGTCTTCGGGTTTTGTTGGAACCAACCCCAGATTTTGCTCTCATTTTTGTTTTTGCTGGAACCAGTGTACTAATTTGATACCACCCTCTTCGTTTTTTGCTGCCATATTATTTTGCTGGAATCATTTTGTACCACTTTTTGCTACAACGGTTTTGGTTTTTTGCTACTACCGCACTATCATTTGTTACATCCTTTATAATGAGGTTGCCGAACCCTAGTGACTGTCTTGTGCTACAACCATTGTATTACCAGAGAAGCCCCGAGCTGGAAACAGAAGCTGTTTTTGCTGGAACCGGCAAACACAAAAGCTATAACCGGTGGTCGATTTTGCTGCAACCGTCTGTCATTTTTTTTGTTACGACCGGTGATGTGTTTTGCGACTATAGGCAATATTTTTTGCTACATCTGTTCAATGTCGTTTTTTTACTAGTGGTCGTTGACCGCGCAATTCCGGCAGTGAGCATTGACGACGGGCAGCGGCGGCGGCGGCCGTGCTACATCCATGGAGCGTCAATGGCAGGAGTTGCAACCGATCTACGACGGAGTTGCAATTAGGTTGAGGGGGAGTTGCACGAGGGGGGTTGTGAGGTGCCGGGTGCGAGCCGTAGAGGGGTCGTGGGGCGTCGGATGCGAGCGGCGAGCGGTTGGCGACCGGTGAGCGGCGCCCTTGCGGAGCTGCGCACAGAGGTGGAGGCACATGGGCAGAGGGGCGGAGGTGCGTGGGGCAGAGGGGCGGAAGCGCGCACGCCAAAGGTTGAAGACGACTCAGGGAGGGAGGAGATGCCAGATCGGACGGCTTTTTTAAGTCAGATCGAACGGTTGGGGCTCGACCGGCGGAAAAACTGGGCCGGCGCACCGGCGCCTAAACTGCCCTATTGAAAATAGAGCATAGAACCGCTCCGCAAAAGGTCTAGAGCCGGACCATCTGTCCAGCCAGAAGAGAGAACCAGTCCCGGTGCCCACATCGATGGAGGTCCCAATACATAGGACCGGCATCAGTTGGATCACCAACTGCCAGAATTGGGACCCTCCCGAGCGAGAGGCGAACGACAGAGGCTGCCCGCGCAGGTACTTTGCACGGATAATCTCCAGCCATAGTCCACCCTCGCCGGTCTGGATGCGCCAAAGCCATTTGAAAAGGAGGGCAATATTCATCCGTTTAGATGAAATGACTCCAAGGCCGCCCTGATCCTTAGGCTTGCAGATCTCCGACCACTTCACCATGTGGTATTTATGCTTATTGCCCTCTCCAGCCCAGAAGAATCTGGAGAGGAGTTTGGTGACCTCGTGATGAAGGGATTCATGTAAACTATAGAATCCCATCACATACATCAAGAGGCTAACAAGGAAGGAATTCATCAGAATCACTCGAGCGGCTTTGGATAGCCACCTCCCTTGCCAAGGCTCCATCCGAGGTTGGAGCTTCGAAATAATTGGGCGGAAGTCTTTCTCCTGCAGACGGATGTCACTGATCGGCATGCCAAGGTACGTGGTGGGGAAGGATCCTAGCCGACAGTTTAGGCTATTGGTAATGCGCTGGGCCTCCTCGTTAGAGTAACCCAGAACCATTACCTCGCTCTTGGCAAAATTGATCGTGAGTCCCGACATCTCCTGAAAGCAGAGTAAGAGAAACTTGAGATGCTGAATATCGTCCTCCGAGCCTTCCACCATCATGATGGTGTCCTTTGCATATTGGAGACGGGTCAAACCCCCATAGCCCACAAGATGAGGGCAAATCCCTCGAATGTGGCCAGCGCGCTTGGCCAAATCAAGGATCAAAGCCAGAACGTTGACCACAAGATTGAAAAGGAATGGGGAGAGAGGATCTCCTTGCCGCACCCCCTGGCCCGTCAAGAATTACGGGCCAACCTCCCCATTAATGTTGATAGCCG